ACCATTAGACCACGGAGGCGGTCCACACTTCAAGAAGAAACATACCCGGAACAGATTTCCAGTCTTGAGCTTCTGACCTTCGCCATGCAAACAAATACTGACAGCACTTATTTTTACATTTTCGCCGGATTTTTTAGTTTATTTGTTGTTTAAGCCGTGCTTAGCAATAATCCAGCTATAAACCTGTAAATAATCGATTTTGTACCAGACAAACAAGTGATCGATATTATGAGCAACAATACCAGGGCAAGCATTGACATAATACCGAGTCTGAACGTCTCGTGTATTAAATTGCCTCTTACGACATGTATGGGTTGCTGGGTGCAAATTCTAACCAGGAATACTCGCTGGGCTCCCTTAAAGTAGGATAATGTCTTGGTATAGTCATAAAAACTTTAGATATTCTTACTGCAGTTTATTGAAACCAGGTCGCTTTATTTATTGTAGTGGGAGTTGTAATAGGATAACGGAATCCTATTCACCAAATTATATAAAAACAAATACTCTATGAAATACTTGAGGCAAAACAAATGCTAAAGCTGCAGTTACTCCACTTACTGTTTTTGAAAGAGTTTGGATTAATCGGCTGTTTTATCTAAACTGTTGTTCTAGTTTGTTTACAATCAGTGTGTGACGTGACGTCGTCGGTTAGAACCTTTTTTGTAGACCTGGTGATGAGATGATCAGGCGATATGTAATGATACACGGGGCTTGTAATCGAGTCTGGAACAGATATCATGTTTGATATCATGAGCATCGATCTACGCAATTGGGATACGATGACATGAATCAACCAAGTCAGCGAGCCTGACCACCCGATCCCGTTAGTCGCCTCTCACGACAAGCATAGTCGCCTGTTACGGCAAGCATGGGTTGCTGAAGACCTATTCTACCCCGGATCTTCACGGGTCAAGAGTTGATATAGCATTATGGCTACAGTAAAATTTCGAGTTTCGCAGACAAGTGATCATGGTTTCAACTACTGGTTTGCCTGTCTCGATCATTGAGAGGATGAATGTTTGTTTATTTGTTGTTAAACGCCGCACTCAGCTATATTCCTGCTATATGACGGCGGTCTGTAAATAATGGAATCTGGACCAGATAATCCAGTGATTGACATCATGGGTATCGATCTGGACAGTGGGGATACGATGACATGCATCAGCCAAGTCAGTGAGCCTGACCACCTGATCCCGTCAGTCGCCTCTTACGACAAGCGTGGGTTGCTGAAGATCAATTCTAACCCGGAATCTCCACGGGACCGATCGTACATTGTATGTCTGTAAATAATCGAGTCTGAATGTTGTGGTGTACTGCGGAGTGACGTAACATTCACTCACTCATTCGTACACATCTTCTAAATAGTGTCATGTTTCTGTTTCAGTATATACACACGCTCTCGAAAAGCATCACTATCAAAAGTACACTTAAGAAATATTTCCCATGATAATTTGACAATTGCAAAGTTAGGCTGTTCACTTTTCAGAGTGTTCCAACCAGATTATACTGAAAAGAAACAGAATACACATTAGCGTCCATAGACTACTTGACTACTGTTCATCAACAGGAGCGACATCTCACACGCTATCATCACCCTCCCAAGCGCTAGATCAAGAACTCCTCCACAGCACTTGTGTCTTTATCACCCCGCTAATATCAGCCATTCGTCACAGCTCCCGACAGCGACAGTTCCGCTCTGTTCCAGCTCCCTACACTTGAAAGCAGAGCGCGTCACGGCAGGTTACAGCATAAGATTGATGAGCCGCTCAGATTGATGCGTGTTGTATCAAACCCTGCCAGGAGTTTACGTCCTAACGTCTCACTCTATAAACTATCTCTAACTAGCAAAGACTCCTCGTGTTATGACGTTCAAGACAAATGGGATGAGGGCAGTGATGTCGAGAGCCAAGCTCGCACTGGTCTGTGAATGATTACTGTATTGGGATCATCGACATTACATTGATTTCGTTTCTGTTTTCGTTTTGCCACAGATTGCTTTTTTTGTAAAAACCCACGCTTCCGGTTTAGGTATTGTAGTTCGATGTGCATTAAATTCGTGTCACGGAAACTTGATTTGTCCACATTGGCTAAATAGTTACATATACATACAGCAGTAATCGTGATTACTTGTAATACCCACGTGGACATTGTCAGGTTACTTTCGTTTTGTATTTTTTGTTTAATGATGCACTATTCCACCTATATGACGGCGGTCTGTAAATAATCGAATCTGGACCAGACAATCCAGTGAGTGATCCCATGAGCATCGATCCACTCAATTGGGATACAATGACATGCATCAACCAATTCACCGAGCTTGAACCCGATCCCGTTATTCATATGTTTTAGTGTGTATTTTAGCAACTTCATTAAGGAGGGAACATTTATTTTTTTAATATGCTTAGCATGGTTCACATATTTTCGTCACTGTAGAGGGCGGGGTATCTTGAAAAATCAAGAAGCGAGGTTGAAAATTCAAGTTCTCGTTTTGAAAATGTAACTTAATAAGTTCAAAAATGCAAGATAAACTGAAGACAGCAAATGAACTTCCCAATACTTCCCTTCCTGCTTTGAGCTGACGCTGCCAGATTAGAACTTGAACTTTTAAGATAGCATCTTGAATTTGAATTTTCAAGATTAAAATAATAATTATGTGGCCCTAATGGGCTTCCCTAGTGGGAAACCCATTCTGCAAAGCGGCGTTAAACCAATTACAGAAATGTTCATGGCAAAGATCTGTGCGAAAGTAGAGCAGAAGGCTTATTGATATGGATTTTTTGTGGCAATGATTTGTGCGTTTACTCTCGTCAGATATAGATAGATGTATGAAGAAATGTAACCCTTTCCATGGTTACAATATTCCATGATGGAGATGTAAAAATCAACTGACCGTATTCTTCTGATGCTCTTACTGCGTTTAAACTGAAATAATGATACACGTTCCATATCATTCTGGTTCCCAGTCTTGAAAAAAACAATATCTCAGGCAGAGCCAAACTAAGTATGTCGTATATCTGAGATAAAAAATCTATTTTCATGGTCTTTCCCCTTTGAACAATGAATTAGCCGCTAACCGTTAAATCTTAACCAGATAGTCCAACATTTACATTTACCCGCATGGAGTCGTGTTGCAGCGCGGTGCTCCTGCAGTTGGTCTTTATGTGGAAATGTCACCACAGAACATGTAATTGATCCTAACTTTATTGCAACAGTATCATTGTAAAAGTCACGTTTTACTGCTGTAGACCTCCACCGCCACGCAATGTTACTACTTTATCACACACCACTGATCCTGGTCAGTAATTAATTCCTTACATGTGGCCGAGTCTTGGTCAATGATCAGTCTTGTCGCCAGCTATCTCGCCTCTCAGTCCTAATTAAGCCTTGAAGACAAGGCAGTTATCGCCCGCTACAAGCCTGCCTTCCATCACAGCGCCACCTGTGTGCACGTGCGTGTGAACCAGGGGTGATAATCTCAGACAATCCATCACGTGCTTACGGTGTCATTGTGCAACCCGGGGGTGAACGGTTGGGAATTGTGGGGGTCGGAGTTGGCGTTATCGTTGTGGGTGGGAATAGATGAGGGTTGGAATCACTTGGAAAGGGCAATTAATCTTGTTGGCAGTATTTATTGTAATGAGATGGGGCTCTGTTTTTTTCTTATTTAGTTCGCAGATATGGACATATGAGATATTACGTGGAATCATTAAAACATAATTTGTATGAACAATTTACAGTGTCTCCTCGTGAAACCGGTCCGGGCGATTCTGTTAGGAACGTTCCCATGGAAACCATTTCCATAACCTTTAGAATTTTTTGCTAACAGCAGCCTGTTGTGCAATTCCGACATCATGTGATTTTACCCCCTCAACATTGATTTCTTAATCCGGACATTTGTTTATCCGGACGAAATAAGTGTGAACGGCACCGTCCGGATTAATGGGGTTTCGCTGCATCCGAGTCAGTGAAGAGCGTCCCTAAAAGAGAGCAAACATGTTGTTCTCGTCTAGACGGAAGCCGTGTTAATCTCTTCATCAGCTTTATGCGATTTTGGGACGTGCGACCAATTGCGCAACTGGAGGCATATACATTATCGAAAATGATGCTTGTGCATTTACGATGTTTTTGATACAACTCAATTTTTGATAGGAATAGCCTGAGTGTCCAGATGGGATTGGGTTTGACCAATTGCTTGGGGACGTTGTCATACGAATAAGATTCCATACTGTGATGACGATGTTTTATTTCCAGATCCCATTTCATGTTTGTGAAATTAAGTAAACAGTTGTCGGGTAGTCTGATTAAAGTGAATGAGTATAGTTTTACGCCTTTTTAACACTATTCCAGCAATATCACGTCGGGGAACACCAGCAATGAGTATAGTTTTACGCCGCTTTTAGCAATCACGGCGGGGAACAACAGAAATGAGCTTCACACATTTTACCCATGAAGGGAATCGAACCCGGACCTTCGGCGTGACGAGCGAACACTATAACCATTTGGCTACCGCCCCAGTTCAATAAGAATTTGAATCGGTTAATATGCTCTGCATTGTGTTGAAATACGTTATATAGGTGACATATGGCTGGTTTCACAATAATACAAGAAACAAACAAAATTGACCATTCTGTCTATAAATTGACCATTCTGTCTATTGACATTTTACCAAAACAATATTACTCTGTTAAATTAAGATTTAACACAAATTAATTTTTGGGACAGGGGATTAGATACCCCAAACTGTGGATACTCTGTTGTCTCCCGAGGGGGGGGGGGGTGCACGGGTTTCACCGAAGTGGTAAATGTCTGAGACCTGCATCACTTCGGGCTTTCCTCCCACATTAAGCTGACACGCCGCGATATAACTGGAATACTGTTAAAAGCGGCGTTAAACCCAACTCACTCACTCACTCACTGTTGTCTCCCAGACAGCCTCTCTTTACAAAGACATCAAGTCATTCCAGCCTCAATTAATAGCTTGACTTCCTCTTATGTTTCAGACGGATGTTCCCCACATTCCAGGTCCGTCTGTTCGGCCTTGATCCTATGTCGGATTTCATGGTGATGATGGACTTTGTCCCCGTGGACGACAAGCGGTATCGCTACTCCTTCCACAGTTCGAGCTGGGTGGTGGCCGGCAAGGCGGACCCCCACATGCCGGGTCGGATCCACGTGCACCCTGACTCCCCCGCCAAGGGCTCCCAGTGGATGAAGCAGATTGTGTCCTTTGACAAACTGAAGCTGACGAACAATCTTTTGGATGACAATGGACATGTAAGTATTGTCGAGGCTAGAATACACGTAGGATGTACCTGGAATTACTTAGTTAATGTGAATCCCCAACGCTTGAGAAAAATCAGTCTCGATTATCCGCCGAAACAGATTCAATCGGGCGTACAAGGCGAAAAAGTGATACAGATACTTATTGTAGAACATACAGATCATTATTGTAGAACATACAGATCCTTATTGTAGAACATACCGATCCTTATTGTAGAACATACAGATACTTATTGTAGAACATACAGATACTTATTGTAGAACATACAGATCCTTATTGTAGAACATACAGATACTTATTGTAAAACAAACAGATCCTTATTGTAGAACATACAGATCATTATTGAAGAACATACAGATACTTATTGTAGAACATCCATATACCTATTGTAGAACATACAGATCATTATTGTAGAACATACAGATACCTATTGTAGAACATACAGATCCTTATTGTAGAACATACATATACTTATTGTAAAACATACATATCCTTATTGTAGAACATACAGATCCTTATTGTAGAACATACAGATCCTTATTGTAGAACATACATATCCTCATTGTAGAACATACATATCCTTATTGTAGAACATACAGATACTTATTGTAGAACATACAGATCCTCATTGTAGAACATACAGATCCTTATTGTAGAACATACATATCCTTATTGTAGAATCTGGTGTCCCCCGCGGTGATATTGCTGGAATATTGCTAAAAGCGGCGTAAAACCAAACTCACTCACTCACTCACTTATTGTAGAACAAACAGATCCTTATTGTAGAACATACAGATCCTTATTGTAGAACATACAGATACCTATTGTAGAACATACAGATCCTTATTGTTGAACATACAGATCATTATTGTAGAACATACAGATCATTATTGTAGAACATACCGATCCTTATTGTGGAACACAGATACTTATTGTAGAACATACAGATCCTTATTGTAGAACATACAGATCCTTATTGTAGAACATACAGATCCTTATTGTAGAACATACAGATCCTTATTGTAGAACAAACATCCTTATTGTAGAACATACAGATCCTCATTGTAGAACATACCGATCCTTATTGTGGAACACAGATCCTTATTGTAGAAACATACAGATCCTTATTGTAGAACAAACATCATTATTGTAGAACATACAGATCCTCATTGTAGAACATACAGATCCTTATTGTAGAACATACATATCCTTATTGTAGAACATACAGATCCTTATTGTAGAACATACAGATCCTTATTGTAGAACATACAGATACCTATTGTAGAACATACAGATCCTTATTGTTGAACATACAGATCATTATTGTAGAACATACAGATCCTTATTGTAGAACATACCGATCCTTATTGTGGAACACAGATACTTATTGTAGAACATACTGATACTTATTGTAGAACATACAGGTCCTTATTGTAGAACATACAGATCCTTATTGTAGAACATACAGATGGTAACATAGCTGAAATATTCCGATGTGTTTTAACTCAGTCACTAGTATCTCGTTCCTTTGCGTCCACATGTCAAACTTCACGATTTGGGTGTGAGTATATACACGAAGGAACCGCACAACGCCCAGCTTACATCAGCGATGTAAATTAGCCCTATCGTAACTCACAGAAAACTATAGACGGGCTAGCCGGTAAAACCCTCCCAAGCTTAAACTGGCAGTAGCTGTCAATTAATCAAAGATCGAAGATCACTTTGAAATATTATCGGTAGATGTGATATATGTCAGGTCTTATGTCCTGAAGACCCGTGAAGATCTGGGTTAATATTTGTCTTCAGCAACCCATGCTTGTCTTAAGAGGAGACTGTGCTTGTCATAAGAGGCGACTAACGGGATCGGCTGGCCAGGTTCGCTGACTTGGTTGATGCATGTCATCGTATCCCAATATGCGTAGATCGGAACTCAGGATGGCAATCGCTAGATGTTTTGGTCCAGATCGCCGTCACATAGCTTAAATATTGTTCAGTGGGGCCCTAAACAAGAAAAAGCGTAAATGCAATCACTATATGTCGAGCATTTGTTTGCCTCTTGTGTAGCCAAGGAACATTGCAACCCTCAATGATCAATCTAGGAATACAACGTCTCAGTTCCCCTCACTCTCAGAGGACGATCAACATCGTTAAGAATATAGGAATATAGGCCACCAGTATGTATTAATCCAGACAAAAAAGCTTTGCTGAATTACTTACTTTAAAAGATCTAAATAAAAATTCAGAAACCTGAAAAGGAACATGGATCAGTTTTCTACGCTAACCAGGTGCACTTCAGCCGCTTGCGACTGTTTTGTGACTTGACTGCAGCGCTTTTGACATACGGAAACTCAGTTTAGGTCTACGTCCGATTTCATGGGTAGCAAGCTGGGGACCTATTCAAAATCAACAGACTTGAATGTGTGTTAATAACATTATATTGAACTAACTGAGTATGGTTTTACGCCGCTTTTAGCAATATTCCAGCAATATCACGGCGGGGGACACCAGAAATGGGCTTCATAAATTGTACCCATGTCGGGAATCGAACCCGGGTATTCGGCGTAACGAGCGAACGCTTTAACCACTAGGCTACCCGACCGCCCCCTCACAAATTATTGAAAGTTATATGGAATCCATATAAAAAAAATACTCAAATCATACAAAAGTGTTTATTAATATTCTCTTACGACATCGAATCTCGTAGCATCCTGACGATTTCTAACTTAATATACTACCACATTTCTCCCCTTTCCCCAACCAGAAATAAATCTCAGGTAATTAAGACACCTTTCCTGTTAGTGTTTACCAAACAATTTAAGTCATCAAAGACGAACTGAATCGAGGCTGCAACATTCCATTCTTAACGTACCCTTGGGCGAACTTATTCTGTCGATGTATTCGCCCAGGCATTGAGCTAATTTATTTGTTTAAACCTAATCTATCGTGAGTTAATTTAGCTGACGCTAGACAGGCAGACATGGTAACTGATTACAGCATGTTGGGTACATCCAGCTGGGAGTCGGAAAGGTGGTAATTGTTAGCGGTGTACTGATAGATGAAGGTACAGTGGTGACAGGCCCCTCTTGAACACTGCCTTATAAATCTGCTCGACTGTTTCTACTACTCGTTTTGATGACACGCGGCCACGCAGGGGAGATGATCAACGATCACTTTCTTATCTTCTTCTCCAGGAGAGTGGTCCTCCATTTGCCAAGTCTCGTAGAATCTCGAAAGGTCTCGCGAGGTCAGCCGTAGCCGTTTGTTAGATAGCTGAGTGCCAGGTCGCTACTTTTATACAACTTGGAATGTTTAGATTTCGTTTAGTTGTTTATACAGCTCGTTAATTTGTGAGAGGAAGTAAGAGAGAGCCGGCTGACTCTCCGCACGCTCGCTTATCGCATGCATGAAACATTCCCTCGTGTCGCACGTGGTGTAAAACCCCCGACCCAGTGCTAATTACTCAGGGAGAATCTGACACAACACTGCCGTATGTGATACTAGCCTTTGTTATTCCACGCCTGTAGGTAAACAAAACTCGTCTCAGATCTTACGCTTGGACGTGACCACTGCCGTTTAACTGACACAGATACACGACGTACAAAGCTAAACTTGCACAAACTCCAAATACTGAACTTTCCCAACATCATGGTGTACCCGCATCCATCATCAATGACGTCCTTGGGGATATAGATTGCACCGAGCTGATTGGCAGACACGCAAAGGGCAACTGGGTCATTGTTCTTGCATATAGATCAAAGTAAATATGAGCTATGACAATTCGTTGGAAAACTGTTGTGTTCCATGAATGCGGATAGGGCTATGATATATTTATGCTACATCTGGCCGGAAGGATGTGTTGCGTTTTGGCTATCGGTTACACTTCTACATACCTGTTGATTAGGTTTCAATTCGGAACAATCTCAAGAATTTCTGTATGGAAGAGTAAATTCTTATGACTGGTTTCGTAACTGAAATCATAGATATTTACACAGCTGAACGTTCGTAAGGACCGTACTTTTGAAGCCCTTATTAGATATATGCTCATTATATATATCAACAAATATGTTGCATACCCTACGATGATATCGACCTATGGGGGCAAGACGATACGATCAAGAATCAAGAATTTTCATTTTACAAAACACCCTCGTAGACCAGGGTACAACCTATCTACATATGGGTATAAATATAATTATAGACGTGAGTGAGTGAGTATGGTTTTACGCCGCTTTTAGCAATATTCCAGCAATATCACGGCGGGGGACACCAGAAATGGGCTTCATTCATGGTACCAATGTCGGGAATCGAACCCGGGTCTTCGGCGTGACGAGCTAACGCTTTAACCACTAGGCTACCCGACCGCCCCCTATCATTGAGAATATCTATGATGATAATCAATTATATTACACGTACATTTCACCATATGTTTTCACGAGCGCTTTAAATATATTTATGTCACGATTGTCAATCAACGAAACAAAATATCTATAACAACTGTGCTGATTAATAAGGGGATTTCGATGCAGTGGCCCTAACTCTGGCTAGAGTAGGTGTCAAGGAACATATTGGGATTGAACTGGATCATTTGGTCAGGATTGCTGACTTTGTTGACAGGGTGCTGGGTACAGACCAAGAATAAATAGTCTCGACAATCTGCCGAACTAGATTCCATAGAGCGTAAAAGGCAAAACATTCATGAAACATTATATAAACGGATCACTGAAAATCAAGCACGAACAGAGCGAAGAGAACGCCTGGGTTTATGAATCCCGATGCGATTCTGTAGGTATAGACAAAAATCATCGTCAAAAAAAGCAATTTCTATCAAGGAGGATATGATTTATGAATCCTGGTTAGATTCTTAAGATTCTGTAGGTATAGACAAAAATCATCGTCAAAATAAGCAATTCTGATCAAGGAGGATAGGGTTTATGAATCCTGATGCGATTCTTTAGATTCTGTAGGTATAGACAAAAATCATCCTCAAAAGAAGCAATTCTGAACAAGAAGGATCGGATTTATGAATTCTGATGCGATTCTTTAGATTCTGTAGGTATAGACAAAAATCATCGTCAAAATAAGCAATTCTGATTAAGAAGAATAGGGTTTATGAATCCTGATGAGATTCTTTAGATTCTGTAGGTATAGACAAAAATTATCATCAATAGAAGCAATTCTGATCAAGTAGGATAGAGGGTTTATGAATCCTGATGAGATTCTTTAGATTCTTTAGGTATAGACAAAAATCGTCAATAGAAGCAATTCTGATCAAGTAGGATATAGGGTTTATGAATCCTGATGAGATTCTTTAGATTCTGTAGGTATAGACAAAATTCATTGTCAAAATACGCAATTCTGATCAAGGAGGATAGGATTTATGAATCCTGATGAGATTCTTTAGGTATAGACAAAAATCATCGTCAATAGAAGCAATTCTGATCAAGTAGGATAGAGGGTTTATGAATCCTGATGAGATTCTTTAGATTCTTTAGGTATAGGCAAAAATCATCCTGAAAAGAAGCAATTCTGATCAAGGAGGATAATCATGAAATCAATTCCACCGCATCTTATCTGATCTATTTCACGGCCAGGAATGTGTGTGTGCCTAAACCAATCCCAATGACAACCACCCACATCATCTCACTACAAGCAGTGCACGAATTGCTACATCTAATTACAAACTTCAAGAAGTGTTAATTAATGTAGTATCAACACACTGTGATGTTATTTCCGCATGGGCCTACTTGACGGAGGCCGTACACCGACTAGAGTGTAATCTCCTTGTCGACATCACTATGTAGACCACTCACCCACTCAGGGTGTTTACACATCTGGACGCGAATCGTCTCTATGTTATATGAAGGTTGACTACTGATTTAGTAGTATCAACATCTCAACCTGATGCGGACTGTGTCCCAACCGACGGAAACCATCAGCTGTACCGTCACTGAATGTTGTTTTACAATATCTCGGCTAAGCAACGGCGCCTGTAAATAATTAATGTCTGGTGTATCAAAGTTGATTGCATGAGCAAGCGACCCACGCTGTGGAGCTGTGATGGCGCTCAGGTCAAACTGATCAGCCATTACAACCACCCAATCCTCATTTGAATGTGCTTTTATTACCAGAGTGTCTCCGTGGTCTAGTGGTAGAGGATCCGCCCGGAGAGCGGAAGGTCCGGGTTCGATCCCCGACCGCGTAAATGCCAAAAGACGTTAAAAGATGGTACTTGTTGTTACCCTGCCTGGTGCTCGGCATTAAGGGGCTAAAGCAAGGACTGATCGGCTCGGAGTCAGTATACTGTGTCTGAGTTGGGTATTCATGTTAAACTGCGGCATGCTATATCAGTGGGCTAGCACAATAAAAATTGGCATCAGTCCGGGACATCACACGGGACATATCACAGGGAGTAAATATTTCGGTGTAAGAACATAAGACATGCTGGATCACTAAAATGCACGTGGAAATAAATTATACTGTGTAATTTTATTGAATAATATGATGTATTGTGATCGCTTGTTGATGTCAAATCTGTTTGTTTTTTTATAAAATAGAATATGTGTACCATCTTAGAAGTACAAACTAACTTGAGACCTTTGAGAAGCATTATGTATGCAGAGTTGCGTCCTTTGGGCACGCCAGAAACCTATAATCGTTGGTTCGAATCCCGGTTCGCCCCGATTATGTTTCTAGGTTTGTCAGCACCCTACCCGTGCTCATTGGTATCACCGAAGTGGTAAATGTCTGAGACCCGCATCACTTCGGGCTTTTCTCCCACATTAAGCTGACACGCTGTGACACAACTGAAATACTATTCAAAGCGACGTTAAGCAAAAACTCACTCACTCACTCACTATAAAGAGCATCCCCGCGCCTCTCCCACCAATCTACTTGTTATTTTATGCAGCAACAAATACCCTCTTGGATAGTTGCTAGACTTCCAATATCATACAATGCCATGTTCAGACTGGCAGCACCATTCAGTGCCAGTGGTAACTGTACCGGACACTTTCCATCTTCGTTGATGTACACCATCCGTGACCTGCCAGATTTAAAATACCATTGCAAGATTTCACCTCAGATTCTAAAACTTACCATACGACGTTTTACATTTGAGGTATTCGTGAACGTTACCAGGCATGTTATTTATTTCAGATAATTCTGAACTCGATGCACAAATACCAGCCTCGCTTCCACGTGGTGTATGTCAGTCCGAAGACGGAGGAGTCATCAGCCACGGAGAACTTCAAGACGTTCATCTTCCAGGAGACCAAGTTCATGGCCGTTACTGCTTATCAGAACCACAGGGTATGTGACTTTACGTTGTTCTTGCCTTTAATCATCCAGAGAGTTTTAGCGTTAGTCACATTGCAATGTTACCGTTATAAAGCAGTATGCCATCGAACAGTTACACTACACTACAGATGCAATGTTACCTTTATAAAGCAGTATGCCATCGAACAGTTACACTACACTGCATATGCAATGTAACTGTTATAAAGCAGTATGCCATCGAACAGTTACACTACACTACAGATGCAATGTAACCGTTATGAAGCAGTATGCCATCGAACAGTTACACTACACTACAGATGCAATGTTACCTTTATAAAGCAGTATGCCATCGAACAGTTACACTACACTACAGATGCAATGTTACCTTTATAAAGCAGTATGCCATCGAACAGTTACACCACACTACAGATGCAATGTTACCTTTATAAAGCAGTATGCCATCGAACAGTTACACTACACTACAGATGCAATGTTACCTTTATAAAGCAGTATGCCATCGAACAGTTACACTACACTACAGATGCAATGTTACCTTTATAAAGCAGTATGCAGTCGAACAGTTACACCACACTACAGATGCAATGTTACCTTTATGGAGCAGTATGCCATCGAACAGTTACACTACACTACAGATGCAATGTTACCTTTATAAAGCAGTATGCCATCGAACAGTTACACCACACTACAGATGCAATGTAACCGTTATAAAGCAGTATGCCATTGAACAGTTATACCACACTACAGATGCAATGTAACCGTTATAAAGCAGTATGCCATCGAACAGTTACACCACAGTACAGATACAATGTTACCTTTATAAAGCAGTATGCCATCGAACAGTTACACTACACTACAGATGCAATGTAACCGTTATAAAGCAGTATGCCATCGAACAGTTATACCACACTACAGATGCAATGTAACCTTTATAAAGCAGTATGCCATCGAACAGTTACACTACACTACAGATGCAATGTTACCTTTATAAAGCAGTATGCCATCGAACAGTTACACCACACTACAGATGCAATGTAACCGTTATAAAGCAGTATGCCATCGAACAGTTACACCACACTACAGATGCAATGTTACCTTTATAAAGCAGTATGCCATCGAACAGTTACACTACACTACAGATGCAATGTAACCGTTATGAAGCAGTATGCCATCGAACAGTTATACCACACTACAGATGCAATGTAACCTTTATAAAGCAGTATGCCATCGAACAGTTACACTACACTACAGATGCAATGTTACCTTTATAAAGCAGTATGTCATCGAACAGTAACACTACACTACAGATGCAATGTTACCTTTATAAAGCAATATGCCATCGAACAGGTATAGATAATAATGCATCGTGAGCTTTACAAAGGAGTATACCTACGAACAGTTATACCACATACAAGATACGTTCAGAGCTTGATCAGCGTCCCTTTAAAGTAACGTTGTAAACTAGATATTCTTTGGCCTTTGTGCAGATGCACCAATTCATCATCACACCGCAGTATGCCTTCAAACAATTAATGTCGCTATATGGCTGAAATAATGCCGAAGCGAAGTTAAATTTTAACTAGCTCACTCACTCACTCACTCACTCACTCACTCACTCGTCAATAGTCAGATAACAGATACCAAAGATAACAGCACTACAGATGAATATTTGAATATTACTTCACCCAAACATTACACAAGTCAGATATACTCAACACAATGGATAATTTACCAACGAGTCTATGAATGTATGTTTAAGTTCTCATTTAATCAAAACAATGATGACGTCCACTGAACTGAAGCCTGTAAATAATGCACACACATTACGCATGCTTCACCAATGTAAGCACTCCGGACAAATCTGTCAACTACGGGTCAAGTCTAAAAGAGTGGACTAATGGAAAATTTCATCACATGCAGGCTTGTATATGTTGCAACAGAATACAGCCTTCTTCTGTCAGTCATACTGACACGGGACCTGAATGCGGGTGTGTGATGTCTGGCGTCCATGTCACAATACACAATGAAAGCTAGCACCTGCTTCTGTATAAATAGTTTTACATTGTAACCAGTATACAAAACCTTCATGGCACCATGCTAGTTTGTTGTTGGATTTGTTTATAGTCCGGGAATCACTGCTGATTTCTGTTATCAAAACTGTAAACTCTGAAGGGCGTTTGTACAACACAAGACATTATCAGTATTGATAATGGATTCCTGAATAGGTCACGTTATACAAGAGTGATGAAACGTTACAAGATTGCTCATACAGTGTCGGAGACGTGGTTTTTTGATTATCTTACGTCAGGACATTGAATGACCTAAATAGCTGTCTATGTCTGTAGGGGGCACGGGTGGCCCAGTCGTCTAAGGCGCCGCGATTCGCTGTGCAGAGTTGCGTCCCCTGGACACGCCAGAAACCTATGATTGTGGGTTCGAATCCCGGTTCACCCCGATTATGTTTCTAGGTTTGTCAGCACCATACCCGTGCTCGTGGGTTTACCGAAGTGGTAAACGTCTAAGACCTGCATCACTTTGGGCTTGACTCCCACATTAAGCTGACACGCCGTGATATAACTGGAATAATGTTAAAAAGCGGCGTTAAACCCAACTCACTCACTCACTCACTCACTCACTCACTCTATGTCTGTATGCTCAGTAATATTCATACTATTTGATGGCGGCCTGTAAATATACGAATATAGACCAGACAAACTAGTGGTTGATATTATGAGCAACGTCCCTCCTTGTCGAGGACGATGACCGCATTTAACAAAGTCGCTGAGCCTGGTCTGAGATCCATTTACTCGCGTCTTTGAGGACCGGTTCTAACCCGGAATTCCCAAGGGGCGAAACAACATTGACACGATACACGTCATATATGTTGCAGACCAAAACGGATGACCGTACGACAAATAAGAATCTAAGCAGCAAAGACGTAACTGGCAGATTCGTTATATTGATTAGAAGCAAAGTGATCAACTTCCGAGACTTTTTTTTCATATTGTACATGCTCATATCAATGTGGGGCGGTCGTGTAGCCTAGTGGTTGAAGCGTTCGCTCGTCACGCCGAAGACCCGGGTTCGATTCCCGACATGGGTACAATGTGTGAAGCCCATTTCTTGTGTCCCCCGCCGGGATATTGCTGGAATATTGCTAAAAGCGGCGTAAAACCATACTCACTCACTCACTCACTCATATCGATGTATTCAGTTTCCTTTGTGTTCTCTATGCAGTTACAATTTACATTCTCCGCTGTTTGTATTGTCGCCTGTATGTGTTATTTATTCTGCAGATCACACAGCTGAAGATTGCCAGTAATCCATTTGCCAAGGGGTTCAGAGACTGTGATCCTAACGACTGGTGAGTGTGCCCAAAGTGTGCATATTCGTTAGCCAGTTTACGTGGAATATGAAAAATAATATTTAATCTTAACCGTACCATGATACCACATATATACATAAGGCAAGACACTTAAACGCCCCCCGTGTATACATACGATCAGATTCATCCATGTATAGATTCGGTAGTTGCAGGAGGGTGACATCACCTCTCTATCTATGCACCAATCATGCCCAATGAGTTTCCGGATTAGAATAGGTACAATATTTACGGGTGGCCCACTCGTCTAAGGCACCGCGATTCGCTGTGCAGAGTTGCGTCCCTTGGGCACGCCAGAAACCTATGATTGTGGGTTCGAATCCCGGTTCGCCCCGATTATGTTTCTAGGTTTGTCAGCACCATACCCGTGCTCGTGGGTTTCACCGAAGTGGTAAACGTCTGAGACCTGCATCACTTCGGGCTTTCCTCTCACATTAAGCTGACACGCCGTGATATAACTGGAATACTGTTAAAAGCGGCGTTAAACCCAACTCACTCACTCACTCACTCCAAACAAGGCATAAGCTAATCTTCCTGTTCTGTTCCAGTATGGTTGAAGTCCTCTCACACCTGAACCCCTGTGCCTCCAGGGCCAGGTCTGTCCACAGACAAAACTCTCTGACAGTACTGGGCGGCGTGGGCAGGAAGAGAGGGCCAGATGACAAAGGTATTTGGGAGAGGAATTTGAAATTCAAACTTCTCCTGCGTTAACTAACATTCCACAATTTACAAAAAAAAATCGGTATTTTGGTAGGAATCCAAGAATCCCTACTGAGAGGTTGATTAAATGTTACCATTAGCACATCATACATGTCTAATCTGTCTCACAGTCCTTGAACAAGACTAAGCGTTATTCATAATATATGTTGTACGGGCCAAATGAAACGGTGTGTGAGCCTGGCTGTGTGTGATTATACCCCGTCAGCTCTGATCAGTGTTCAAGCCTCCGACCTCTAGTTTGCCATAGTCAGACTCGGTCATTTTCAGGTGCCGTTTAAATAGCTGAAATATTGTTGATTGCGGCTTACAACAGCATCCAGTGTCACCTCTTCTCGTAAGCAAGGGTTGACCTCAAAGACACATGCTTACGATATAGTCGGAATTGAACAATACTCTACTTTTAGCAGAGCTTTTTTTATGATTGTGGAAGAGGTTTTGTCACTTTTTTTATTCATGAAATCAACTATACTGATTTTATGTAAAAACAGGTTGTATATTTCAATGAATTAAGTCCATTATACGATTCCGACAACATCATAAGCATGTGATTTTGAATTCCTATCAAATAGTGATGATACCAGGTGTTGGCAAAGAGGCACAGATTATTGCCTGTAGATAACCATCTTCCCGAGGCAAGGGAATTAACTTACTTTTAGTCCAGTTTCCACTCTTGCCGAACTAGGCTGGAATTTCGGGCTCGATAGTAGCGCCACCAGAGGCTATAACAAGTTATTTTCCGTCTATGTTCCCCCTACTGACCAATAAGATTCTACCTCTCATATCACATGCATTTTCTTCAAACAAAATGGCAGCGCCCAGTCAGAACGATCTCGTCGAAATTAAAAATCTTTATTGTAATAAAAGGGACCTTGCCTCGAAAGGCACATCATATCACTTGAGCACCTTGATTAAAAACATAAAAAGATTTTGAAAATACCTGTCGAGGCATTGTTGACGGTACACGAGCTTTGAAAATCCTGCAGGCGAACGAATTCGGCATTGCGTATGAACCGTTACGCGATTTTTATTGAACTATGCATAGACTCGTTAGTTCAGCCATAATATTACTCCATAATTTCAGCCATGTATGGCAAGGGTGAAAACTGAATTTTTAAAGTCAGTTATCTCCCTTACCTCAGGAAGATATTAGGTAACCGGATAATACAGGTCGAAGTGTATCCAAGTTACAACCTACAACAAGAGTAGACCTATATTCTTATCATTTCAGGTGACTGTGTTGGTGAAGACATCGGATCCGTGGTAGGTCCTCCAGGCATCAACCCCGGCCTCCACACGGGCCTCCAATACAGCAGACCTACACAAATGTACACAGACTGTTTTGCGTATGCCCCATATAGCACGGACCCATACATGGCCACCAACAAGGCCCGTTCTAGCCCCTACTCACGTAATATGGACTATTCCTCACCAGCATATGCCCCGAGAGTCAAGGGCATCTACACGGGGCCTAACAACTTGAGCTATGGCTTTGAGAACCGGTGATAATGTTAAAGTGTTTCTTGACTTGTCTGTGAAAACTGAGGGACTGAAGCTGACAGCTTCTTATCAAACCTGTTCTACCTGGAGAAAGCTTGGGGGGAATCACATTCAGGTATACATGTGCAACATTGTGTGATATATAATGGACAGAATATCACAGAACTGTCTTTACAACGTCACATATTAAGAACAGTTGATTCATGTTGATTGAAGGATTGGTGCAATGACTGATTCACAATTGCAATATCCTGGCCTACAGTCAAGACCAATGGTGCCCCATTCATTTTGGCGTCTTCACGAACTTCCAGTGTCCAAAGTATGCTGGTATTTGTTGCTTCTGAAAACTAATTAAGTCCCAAGGAGGATGTTTTTAATTACATCACTTTTGCTTATACAACTAGACAGAAAGCTGTGATTTATTTCTTGTTCACAAACAGAACCTTACGTCATAGTGATATGAAGAAGTGCTGCTATCTTGCCCTGTGATTACACAAAGTGGATCTCGACCATACGTATGCCTTTCTCTCAGTGATGACAAGCACACTGCATCATACTGTTATGTCTAATGGACAGTCACAGACAGAGAAAGGCCTCTACCTCTTCCATGTTTATAGACACTGAACATACGTTTTAAACAGTTGAAGAGGTTTGCTTGTGTGAATATAGTAAACGTGTTTATGATGAAAGGTTATTGTCTCATATTTATTATGCATTTTACAATAAAAAATTGCTTCTAACATCTTTGTGTAGTGTATTCTAGTCTTCCCCAACAGTCTCCGATGATATATTAGTACACAAAATATAGGACGTTAAACTTTCAGTTGCATCAGCAAGATTACATAGCGACTGACACATACGAGTAAGAAATTGTGTGTGATAAATATCACCGTCAACGCCTGAGAATAATCAATTTCGATTATCTGCGGAAACAGCTTTCATTGTGGTAAAAACCAAAAATAGTGATACAGATTATGTGAATGGATTACTTAAAATCAGTGATGATACCAGGTGTTCGCGAAGGGGGAAAGCATGCTATTATGCTCTATCAGAAGTGGTTACAAAAAAACGACGTTATCCACTGGTCATGACGTCATGCAATTACGTCATCAGAACTGGTTAAATTCAGAAGGTTTTTTACAGACGTGAGATTTCATCCTAAACTGACGATATATATAATACTGGATGGGGCGATGGGTAGACCAATGATTAAAGCGTTCGTTCGTCACGTCGAAGACCTGGGTTTGATATCAAATATAGGTACGATATATGAAGCCCATCCATTGTGTGCCCCGTCGCTCATTACTTTTAAAAAGGAATGGGCATCGCCACAAGAATGGAGAATCCTTTATATACTCAACGCCAAAAGAAACGCGAACCATAGAAACATATAGAGAAGTATGTACGTCAAGAAGAGATGTTTCCAATGTGTACCACTTAATGACAAAACTAACAATCAGTCAAGTGTTACCACAGAGTGTCTTTATTCTCATCACGATATGCTGCTCGTGATTACCAAACTTCACACGCTAATCCTGCACGAGACAAATGGTGCATCTTGCGTCATGGATCTATGACGTCACATGTGATGCGTTCATGAGCCTCGGTTCACACATAACAATATGTTCGTTTGTGCATCAAACCAATCTAATATCTCTTGAATATGAGTAATTCTTCAAATATTATCAGGTGTGGTATTCGCGATTCTTTTGTCGGCGAGTATATATTGTTTCATTAATTTTTATTCGAACTACTCCGATTTAGATGAATGTCAGTGCGTACTGCCAACATGGCGTATTTACTTATCAAGGAAGCATAATGACGTGATCGTTGTATGGAGACGTCATAGTATCGTAGCCACTTCCTGTATGTCTCACAGCTGTTTGTGCAGGCGGAGAAAGGGAGCGCAACGTAAAATTGGCGAAAACATTTCGCATTTACACATTCATGACCCATTCCTTGACAAGCCGAATGTAGACTCCTGTCCCACTCGAAGGTTTCCGTATTGGCTTATGAACACGAAAACTACTTCAAATAAGAAAGATAACTCTCAATCTACCTGCGTCTTATAGCTAAATTTTTGTGAGTGCTTCCTTATTCCTGTTTTAAAAGTTTTAAAAGTATTGAACCTCACTGATACTAATATTTTACTTTTGTACAAAAGATTATTCGGCAACGATCCAACTCATTCTTTCTCATCTGTTTATCTTTTATTTGCAAATTGTTAATTTTTAAATAAGATATTAAAGTTAGATGAAAACTGACTGGGCGAAGGTGGTTTTCGGATTAAAAATAATTTCAATAATTTTTTAGAGAAGTTAAGTATAGCAAATTATGACATTGTCATTTCAATGCTTGAAACAACATTTCTTTATACTCATTTATTTCATGACTGAACCTCTCATTTCATGAACAGCCTAAATAAATATAATACATATTTTATATGAATTCATTACAATAAAATTATGAAGGAATATCATCCACCATGTCTAGAAATATATAGAAGTATTTCTAAACATATACAATAACACAGTGAGACCATGTCAATATTCAAACTCCGCGGGGATTCCCATGTAGTCTATGCTCGTCGCAAGAGGCCAGATTCGGAAACTTGGTTGATTGCCTACCATCGTACCTCGACCATGTGGATCGTTGCTTACAATACCAATGACTGGTTTGCCTGGTGAAGTCTAGATTATGTACGAGCAGCCGTCATATAGGTGGCGTATTGCTTAGTGCAGCATTAAACAACAAACAAGCTTCGATATGCAAAGCTCGATCAAGTTTTAAGTTTTTTATATTATCAACTTATCCATAGTTAAGTATGTATTCTGGATTTAACATTAATAGATTTGGTACATTTGGCATTGAAATGGTTAAATTGAGAACCATACTAGTCTCTTATAGGTTTAATAAACCAGAATATATGTACTTCATTAGGGTAGTTTATTTAAAACCCATAATATTTATTACATTAAGTTTTCATTAACAATTTCTTATCTTTGTACTATAGCTTCCTTTCATCAAGAGGTTTTTTTTACAAATTTCGAAATAATTCGTTCCAATCTCTTTGCGCTTATGACTTATGGTACTCATATCATCACATAGATATTTATTGAGGAATCGATTTTTTTTCTAGCCACAAGTATTTTTCTGTTGTCTCTTGTTAATGTACGTTATGAGGCACGGATCCGATATAACACTATGATGTGTGTACAGGGGTACCTTAGAGAACCAGATAATCACCTAAATATATATTTATAGCAAAACTATCACTTTTAAATATATTACTACTGTTCTAATGTTGATATTTACAATCAATCTACACGAATCCAATCGTTAATATCTAATAAAGCGAAGATAAACATCATTGTTATAGACTAGTTATACAAGTGGATTGTCTCTTTATATGTCTGTGAAAGCTGGTGTATATTAAATTTACTCCCCAGAGCAATGTCTGACAAAGTCATATTTATAGATACGTGCAGCTGTAAAAAGCTACCATATGGTCCATATGTCTTAACTCGGTTAAGCTGACATAGACTTTAATTATGTTCTGCCCCAACAGTGAGTGAGTATAGTTTTATGCCGCTTTTAGCAATATTCCAGCAATATCACGGCGGGGGACACCAGGAATGGGCTTCACACATTGTACCCATGTCGGGAATCGAATCCGGGTCTTCGGCGTGACGAGCGAACGCTTTAACCACTAGGCTACCCGACCGCCCCTCTGCCCCAACAACTAAAGTGTATGATTGTATACTTTGTAATATATGCTTAGATAAAATGATGCTCGTGGTATACAATGAATGCAAAATGTAATAATGTAATGGTATGTGTGTTGTATTATTGATTCTTGTAATTGTATACCCGTAGTTTAACCTTACTATGCTATATTTTAGGGTATATCATCATTTCTCAATCTCATATCCCCGACGACAGCCTCCGTGGTTTAGTGGTAGAACGTCCGCCCGGAGAGCGGAAAGTAAGGGGAAAGTAAGGGGTTCGATCCCCGGCCGCGTCATACCAAAAGACGTTAAAAGATGGTACTTGTTGTTACCCTGTCTGGCGCTCGGCATTAAGGGGCTTAAACAAGGACTGGTCGGCTCGGAGTCAGTATACTGTGTCTGAGTGGGGTATTCATGTTAAACTGCGGCATGGTATCTCAGTGAGCTAGCACTATAAATCGGCATCAGTCCGGACTAGTACAAGCAGCCACACAAACACACATACGTACATGCACGTCGCTATATAAGTGCAAGAATCTTGGACGCGACGTTAAACCCTATATCACCTCATATCCCCGATTGAACTGCAGACAGAACAAATCCCATGCAGCCGGGTCTAGTTGTAATTCAAATGAACGGATGTTGCAGTCAAGAGAGCCATTTCCTTAATGTAAACAAACGCACGTGTACAATTGAATTTATCATCCAACATAGCCCTGCACGTAACAACATCAATAAATATTCATCACATTTCTGTTATCTGTATACACTGCGGTGTGGAAATGACAATCTACAATTTTTCCACAATTTTTCAAAAAACGCATATTGCAAAAAATAATTCACATACTCGATATTATAATGAAGTACCCATATCCATACGCGCATTCTGATTGGCTTGCGCCGTTTAGACGCATGGCGGCCTTCGAGAAGGGGACAAGCCACCTTGTTGTAGGTAAAGGAAACATGCGAGTGGTGACGAATGTGATAAACATCATGTGTTTTGAGACCATGTCGCTTAACATTAAGTTTTTTGAGACAATTTCGCTAAACATTATGTGTTTTGAGACAATGTCGATGCACCTTATGTGGTTTGAGATTTGAGAATACGTATTCGATGCCTGGACGTTTTTAAATTTAACTCGGCTACCTCGACAGTTGCGAACAAAATGTGACAAACTTTGAACAGAAATATGAGTGAACAGCAAAATTAGGTGATTAAGAACGAGCGTTAAAAACATGCCCTTGTAGGGTCATGAATCGGACCCTTCTAAATATATATATATCCCTCCTTTTGACCAATCACATTCCACCTCTCGTGCCACTTGTATTTGCTTCAAACAAAATGGCGATGCCTGTCAGGACGATCTGATCTATCATCAAGGATTGTATATTGTAATGAAATGGGTCTAACGGGTCTAACGGATCTCACGGGTCTTACTTTGCAAAGTGCTTCAGATCACGTTAAAGAATTGGAAAATATCTGTTGACGGTATCCGAGTATCCGAGTTGGCGGTACACATGCTTTGCAAATCCTGCAACAGAACGGCACGGCAGTTTACGAACTGAATGTCGATTTCGTTACGCGATTGGACTATGCACAGACTCGTCAGTCCAGCCAAAATATAATTCCAGCCTAAATCGGCAAGGGTAAACAATGGGCTTTTATGGTCAGTTGACTCCCTTGCCTCGGAAAGATGGATGGGGCAGGATCAGCTGAACGTTTCGCGAACACCTAGTATCGCCACTATTTGATAGTGATTCATAAACACATGATCATGATGTAGCCGGAATTGTACAAGGAGCTCTACTTTCAGCAGATATGTTCTATGATCAAACAAATGGTTTTGCCGCTTTTATTTACGAAGATACCCGCACCCAGGTTCAGTTGGGATTGATAGAGTAACTTGTCTCACAGACCAGGGTACGCCTGTAGATTAAGAAATATCCACATACTTTTAAGTGTCAGTGATACAGTGAGTTTGTGTTACTACAGGGAGATAACTGACTTTAAAAT